CCCCCCACCCCATCCCAACCTGGTCTCCAGGTCCTGGTCAGGTCTTCCCTCTCTCCCTGTCTTTCCCTCTGTCTCCATACCTGTCTCTCTGGGTCTTTGCTTTCTCCCCACCCAGCATCCCCACCCACGTCCCTGCCAGTTCCAAGAAGCAAGAAGGGCCTTTTGTGACAGAACAGCCTGAGCCTCCCGTCATGGACTGAGGGGGTGCTCCACAGTGGAGTTCCCCAGGTTGACTCCAGGGGTCAACTAGGGCCTACATCCAGTCTGAGGAAATGAAGCAGGGCCACACTAGACTCTTGTTCATGCCCCTCACACACTACAAATACACACAACACACAACACATACACAGCCACACACACAGCCCTCCCAATACACACAGGCCCCTCACACACTACACACACACACAGCCCCCAATATACGGCCTTCAATACACCCCCCCCACACACACAGCCTCTTAATCATACTCATATAGCCAATCTCTCTATACACATAGCCCCCTAATACATACAGATGATCACAGGTGCAGGAAGGCACACACATTCCAAACACAGTGCACTGATATGCATTGCCCTCTGATGTCCCCCTACCTAGAGTCCCAGAACCCTCATTTCTCTCCTCTCTTTCTCTCTCAGTACATACATACACTTTAGGCAGGAATAGGTCAGGCACCACAACCTCTAGAACAACTTCTGGCTCAGGCAGGGGAGTCTGCCTGTAACCAGCAAGACCTCAGCTGCCCCACCGAAGAGCTCCGTTTCCTCTGCACTGACTCCCAGGGGTTAACTGGGTCTCCCCAGTTCAGGCCCACAGACACTGGGACATTTTAGAAGAGGGGTTTATTCAGATTCTAAGGAAGGTGACTGCAGAAAAAGCAACAGCAGGAATGCTCGAAATACAGGTTTTTGACTCGAAAAGCAATCCATGGGTGACTGCTTCCTTTCTAGGACTCAATCCTGGGAGTGGCCCTGCTGGCCTCTCTGGGGGCAGCTAGGTTCCAGCATTATACTGAGCTCTCCTCTGACCTAGCCCATCCTCATTTTCTCCTCTCAAGCCTGCCTCAGTGGGTTGCTATGGAGGAGTCTATGGCTGTGTCTCCTGTGGGCTGTTGGTCAATTGACTCATTCATTCCTCAGTCATTAATTCA